ATACCCTAATCGGTGTGAAGCAAAACCTCCTCACTAAGTCGTGAGGTCTTTTATCTTCTTTAAAATTGTCTCTTATCATTACTTATCTCTATAACACGTCCAGAAATACAACTACTTACTCTACACGTCACTGGCCCCGTACTATCACTCCCTATTTTATCTTCTTTCTCCATTCTTTTTTTTCTAAAAAGATGGACCCCCTCTACGTGGTAGTCTGATATGATGTAATAATAGATAGATAGATAGATAGATAGATAGATAGATACAACACTCGTAAGTTAGTTCGTAGAGGGTTGGTTAGCCGCGCTGATAGATAGATAGATAGACACATACACACACACACACACACACACACACGCACACACGCACGCACGCACGCACGCACGCACGCACGCACACACGTACACACACACACACGCACACACGCACACACGCACACTCGGAATACAAGGCATACATACACACACACACACACACACACACACCCCCCCCCCCCCCTTCCTACAATCATTCATTCCATGCATTCGATCCTTCATTCCATCCATCCTTCCTTCCATCAATCCTTCCATCATTCATTCTATACTTCCAACTATTTTTTCTTTTAACCTTAATTTTTATTATTATTATTATCTTTGGTGTCTCTTAACACAGAGGAAATATTAATGTGTCAAGTGATGCAGAATTTATTCAGCTTTAAATGTGTAAGCTGCATATGCAAGTAGTGTAAGCCTGTAACACGATGATTGGGTGATATAAATATTACATTATTATATATACATACATACATACATACATACATACATACATACATACATACATACATACATATGTGTGTGTGTGGGGGGGTGTGTCATGTGTGTGTGTGTGTGTGTGTGTGTGTGTGTGTGTGTGTGTGTGTGTGTGTGCGTGTGTGTGTGTGTGTGTGTGTGTGTGTGTGTGTGCCTAAAGAAGGGTAACAAAAGTTGCCACAGACCATTTTGAGCTACAGCCTGATAGGGACAAAAAAATCACTTTTTGGACCAACATGTGTTTCCATTTTAAAAAATGATAGTTACATCATTTTCTCACACTATGTTAAAAGAGTTTTCATTGATTTGACTTCTAAATATTTTATTTTGAATTATTTGGGTACGTCTTAAAAAGATAATAAAAACTGCTTTTAAAAGGTGTTAAAATCTATTCTTTAAGCACGTTTTCTCTTCCCCGCTATGTTTTACCATTGAATTCTAATCATGATATTGATGTCAACTGAATGCCGAATTGGAAATGAATTGTCCATGCACAAATACATTAAAACATTTGAATCTTCATTTTGTACAAAGTTTGTATGTGTTCTAAACTTTAAAGCTAATTTTCTCAAAATTAAATCTTTATACCTTACCTTGCAAAATGTGCAATATCTCAAAACTACTTGAGATATCTCAAAAATTCAAAAACCACTGTGTTCAGCATTGAATGTCTTATTAGGCAGGGGCGAAGCGTCTATATAATCAAATAATCACTGCTTCCCTTTCTAATTTTGAAACATTGTCGCTGTCAAATTCATCCTTAAACGTAAACCTCATAAATTAAATGTCAAAAGACGTTCGTAATCAACAAATAAAGTGAGGCTGGAATAGAGTTGAAGGGAACATGTGCATGGCAGTCAAAGCTGTTTCATTGCCACATATACCCTGTTCACCCCTTTGGGACCACAGTTAAAATCAATCACAAGCCCTGATTAAGTAAGCTAACTAACACTGGTCGAGTCTACCTCACAAATGTGAGAGGAACTAACTCTTAATAATCTCTTGACTGCTGCTTGTGCTTGTTTTTTTTCCTCGACTTTTTACCGTCCTATAATCAGATCGAGACCTCGATTATGACACCAGCTCCTGGCGGCGAAAGGCTAACAAAAACAGCCAAATGTGAAATTTAAAAAATAATAATTGTCATGTTCTACCAAAGAGTTAGACTCACTGGTAGATCTATAACATATAGATCTAGTACTGACATCTCTGCTTCTTTGCTTTATGTTTATGTATTCACATCTAAAGTTAAGTTTAATTTTAGTGGGAACTGATATTTAATAAGATACTTTCCCGATTATTTTGGCGGTTGAACATACAATATGAATTCCGGATTTGTTTTCATTCACAACTCAGAGTCGCCGCCTCGAGTAAGATTCTTGTGTGATATCTATAGGCCCTATCTGGTCCCATTTCACTTTGATTACCCTGTCAAACAAGTCAGCCTTCGCCCCTGTTATTAGGTACAATCTTTAAGTCAAAATATTTATATACAAAGTATAATATACAAAGTATATATTATAGATATATAGATATACAGTCAAACCTCGTTGTATCGCCCTCCGTTGCACCGCCAGCCCCACTTACTGCCAGGTTTGGCCAATGTACGAAAAGAATCCCCTCTATAAACATAGCAATTTGCGCCTTTACACCGCCATCCACCATCTGCTTCAGTTGTACCCTCCTTATTAAACTACAGTAGTAAAGTTACCCTATTGTACCACCAACGAACTGACGGCCAGAAGTACACAGTACACACATTAGCTACACATGGCGCACGCCACATCCACTCGATGGCTGCTTGACAATCTTTCACACACAAGTCTCTATACGAGCTTGGCCTAGGTCCAGATCAAACGTTTTTCGCCAATTTTTCTTCCTCCACGCCCATCCCATCTCCCCACCCTTGTCTTGTAGATCATAGGCAAAATGGATAGAACTAAAGTGGTGTAGTTAATGTATTGCTTTCAAACATAATACAATGTGTAATGTACGGGTAGGAGAGTACAATTAAAATAAAACCTAACTTTGTAATTGAGCATTAAGTTTTGCTCCCCATGTGAACCCGACTAATTTCTAAATCTGATGCGCTGATTATGAAAATACTATATTTAAGGCCTTGGGCAATATTTTTTTTTAATGTAATTAAATTTTTAAGTCGCCTAGATGTAGGGAACCTCCCTAAATAACTTACAGACTGGCAAATGCCCGTGGGGCTATGAGGACTCACGCTCAAATCTAAGTGACTGATCAAAGGGAGATAACTCATTAATCCATATTGTTCCCTTGACGTTGGGCAGTCTACATGAAAACCCCGTTGTACCGCCAACTTCATGCTCGTTCCAAGGTAGGCAGTATATCGGGATTTGACGGTATATATATAGATATATATATATATATATATATAGATATATATATAGATAGATAGATAGATATATAGATAGATATATATATATATATATATATATATATATATATAGGGAGACAAACGGAGAGAGAGAGAGAGAGAGAGAGAGAGAGAGAGAGAGAGAGAGAGAGA